CCCCGGTACCTGGTACATGCCTTGGAGATCCGTTATGCCCCCTTGCACCTGAAGCCATGCGGTGAACTCATCCCTGCCGCTGCTCTTTCGACACAGTACTCGCTCGTGTACGTGTGTACTTCCCGTCCCACCTTGTGTTGCTGCTGCTGCGGTATTTCCCAAGGGGGTCGCCCTTGATTGCTCCACCGACTCGCACGCCCTCATCCTCTACCGGTGTTTATCTTTACCCGCCTCCCTTCCCCTACTCCGCCCACAATGGAGCAGCCGGAAATGTCCCAGCCTGCTGCCCATCATCACGATGATAGTCACCTCGTGACAGCTTATTTTCCGAACTCAACATCCACCGTTCCTCCTGCAGCACATCATCCCCCGCAATTACCGCCACTGGCATCCCCCCAGAAGGACTCCTCTCCGTCCGAACTCAGCTATCTTGACGGCCGTCTCAACTCCTCTCACTCCGAATCGCATTTCCAGCCACCTCACCATCATTCCCGCCGGCAGCATCGTCTGTCACATCCGTCTCAGGATCCCGGGGAGCACATCTATGCTGAATCTGGCCAAGCATCCGTTCCCCCGGAGACATCGGTTTCTTCGCCTTATCTCGAGAACGGCTCCATATTGACCCGAGCCTCAATCACGAGCGAGGCCGTGCGCAAAGAAGGGCGTGTTCGCGGGAGTTGGACGGATCATTCTTCGTACATGTCGGGCGATAACCACCCCAATGGCGCATCCCGCGTGCATAAACGAGCGGTTCATGACGATGACATTTCCCCGGAGCCTGCGGAGCCGGACGCTCTATTGATGGTGGTGAGCTTCCCTTGGTCTTCTGTGTCCAAATCATTTGGCCCGTAACTAACCGCCTGGACCCTAGTTTCGACTCTCCGTCCCCGTCCCCGTATTCTCCTTCTGTGCAGCATTCTACACCATCTTTGGTCTCATCTTCGTCCTCCTTGTGTCGCCGCTTCGGATATGTTCCTGCATACCATACTTTCGGACCACGTCCTTCCGAGCACAGCTTTGTGATCTGCTGGTGCCCCAGCTGCATATCCATGAACGATTGGTCTGTTTGCGACAGTCCTCGAGTAGATCTTCATCGACTCAGCCAATCTATGACCCGGAGGGATCATTTATCGCCGAGTCCATCGACTCCTATTCCATCGCTGGACTGCTCATGGTGCTGCTGTTATCGCCGTTTCTCTCCATAGCCGTATTTCTCCTTGCCTGGATTGCAGCCTTTTTCTGGATCTTTGCCATGATGTTAGGCAACCCAGACGGCACCGAGCGCAAAGATGATGGCCGCGCAGCTGTCCTTGGAGTCTGCCGGTGGTGGCAGATATGGCTTGGCAAGGCCCGTAAGTCGCTCGCTTAGGTCTGTTATTCATCCGTGGTTTTGATGCCGGCATGATACCAACGTTTGGGATATGTGGAATGACCTCCTGAGGCGTCCTTTGCTTTTTCTTTCGTTTCACTTTTTTTTTTTTCTTTTTCTTTTTTTCTTCGGCCTTCTTTATCCAGTCACCGGGCTGGTTTTCGAGGATTCCTTCGGAGTTGAGATATTGGTCGCCGGCGCGGGGAGTTTGCCATCATTATCGTCCATGACTCACGGCTTATCGTAGAGAGCAAACGTCGTCGTCACGAATTTCGATAGCGAGGGAGGTTGGGAGTTAGATTAATCGGTCTGCTGGCGAGGGAGCCTTTGATATTTTATATTTCCATGTACTCATACAATAGTGAGAGAATTGATACCCACATTTTGTTCTGCTTGATCACCGTCGAGAGTAGTCCGTAGTTAGTTAGTGAGGAAGGAATTTAGTCAGACCAATCCAACCGTATCCTCCGTAACGTACGGAGTAAATAGATAGTTCGATCCAAGGACGGAAGGAAGTAGGAACAGAAAACCCCCGAATCAACAGCCCCAAGGCCCACCGAGACAGAGCGCAGTCCAGAACCCGCGCGCCCACTGACTAAATCTGACAGATCACACCCACCTACGTAATCGGCTCGGAGTCCAAGTCCCAATCACCCTCCCGGTTACACGGGCATAGATGTACCTTGCTTGCTTCACTCCCGCTTTCAGGACATAGGCCCTGGAAGGTATGTATGTACCTTCCAGAGTCGAAACTTACATACGGAGTTACGGTAGTTACTCTGGGTGGTTACTGCTTATGTAAGGTAGTATAACTAGTTACTCCCATCGTATAAGATATGTAGATGTCTAAATCGGTAGGTAGGGATAGTATATCACCCGCAGTTGTTTATTCATAGATTACGGTAATATCGGGTATAGAGATGGGTGGGCTGGGCTATTTACGACGTAGGTTGTTGGAACGGGGTTAAGATGAATGTTGATCGAATTTTGCGTATGTCGGATCTGGGTAGAGTAGAGCAGAGCAGAGCAGAGCAGAGCAGAGCAGAGCAGTGTAAATTCGAACAGAACAGAATGAACGAATGAAGGAATGAATGAATGAATGAATTGAAAGGGTATATAAAGATACCTAATAAGGAATGATGACAACTAAATCATAACTGACTAACTATCTTTTTTTGGAGCGAACTAAGAAGGGTGATTGATGAAACATCATTGGGATTGTAAATTATCAACAGCAAAAATATAGATAGAGAGAAAAAGCAAGATGAGGTAAAGCAAGAGAGGTCTCGTCATACTCCATACATAAACATGGATTTCATTGCCTAGCTGGTATCCAGTGCCGTTAACGGGAAGAGGTGGAATTTGGAATGCTTTTGGGTCGGTGGGTAGGAGGGAGAATGAACTGGGATCAGTTCAGTCCAGAAGGGGTCGAGGGAATGGTTTGGAATAGGGTATGTATGAGGTTCATCTTCTGTTGCCCACGCGGAATCCACCGCCGCGTCCGCCGCGTCCACCCCGTCCGCCACGCATGGGCTTGCGCTTTTGAATGCGTCCAGCGCCGCTGGGCCCGTGGGTCTTGGGCATGCCGAGACCACGACGGCCGGGCCCGGGCCGGGAGGCAGGGCCAGAAGCGTGGTTGTCGTTGTCCTCGTCCACGTCCATATCATCGCCGCCCTTCTTCTTCTGGGACTGGGCCATCTTGAGCTTGCCGCGTTGGCCGCGACGCACGGCGTCGGGACCGCTGACGGCTTGAACGTAGGCGTTGATGCCGCTCTCGCCGGCGTTGTCGTCCAGGCCAGCGGACATGTCCACGTCCTGGGTGTCATCGCCCAGAAGCAGACGGCCATCGGCGTCGACCTTGGCGTTGCGCTTCTTCCGGGAGCCGGGACCGGTGTTGAGGAACCGGACACTGGGTTTGGTGGTGGAGATGTTGGCCAGAGCGTTGGGGGCGAGCAGATCCAGAGGGTTGTCCTCGGGAGACAATTCACGGATGTATTGCTCGCTCTGCTTGGCCTTCTTGGCCTTGCGGCCCTTGGAAGCGTGGGTGATTCCCTCTTCGTCGACGTCGATTTCGCTGGCGTCGTCGTCCGAGTCAAAGTCGGAGTCGTACACGGCCTTGTCGAAAGCGTTGCTGTAGGACCGACCGCCCTTCTCCTCCTTGCCTGCGGCTTCCTCTTCCTCGTCCTCATCCTCATCGTCACCACCGAGCTCGCCCTCCTTTCTCTTCTTCTTGCGTCTCTCGCGCAGCTTCCGGATGTTGACCACGAGCTTCCGGTCGCCTTCACCCACCAGCTCTTCCACGGGGGCGGCACCGAAGCGCCGGATAAGACGGTCAAGAATACCCTTCACCTTGCTGCGGAGACGGCCCTTGTGCTCCTTGCTCCAAACCATCAGGTTCGGCACCAGGGAGCTGAGGCGCGCGCGGAGGTCTTCGTCGGGGAGAACGACGACAGCGACCTTGACGAAGCCCAGCACAGACCGGACGATTTCACGGTTGTTGCTGGTAAGGAACAGCTCAACGGTCTGCACCAGGTCGGAGCGGACGGCGGGTTGAACTTGAGTGTGGAAGTCGAAGAACAGACGGGAGAGCGCGGTGACGGAGGCAGCAACCATGTGCGGCGAGCTACCGGCCAGACCCGCAGACACCATGGTGAAGAATTCCTCGATCGTAGCGGGGGCGTCAGGGGCGTCGTTGGGCATGTGGGGCACCAGCGAGTTGCGGATCTTGGTACCAGGAGGGTTCTGCTCAGAGTCGGTGGTTCTCTTCGCCAGGTGAATGAGCAGGTCGAACGAGGCAGTGCGGGCCTTCTCGTTGCTTTCCTTGCAGCCCAGGACGACTTCCGAGAGAACGGAGGGGATGAAATGCAGGTCGGATGTCGGCAGGTAGGTGATGAGTTCGTAGATAGCAAGCATACGATCACGGCGAGCGGACGCAGGGGTCTTGTCCGCCGTGTTGATGATGAGGGCCTGAAGCTCCGAACTACGCTCGCGAAGCGCAGCGCTTCCGGTCTCGGTCTGGGCCAGACGGGGAATCAGCTTGTAAGCCTTCTTGATCAGCTGCTGATCACCGGTCTGCCCGCTAAGGATGGCCGCAGCCAGAGCAAACAGGTTGGCGAAGCTCGAACGGGGCAGGTAGATTGACATGGCAATGACCAGGTCGATCAGGGTGTGCGAAGTAGGCGGCATCTTGTCACCAGAACCGGACTGCTGGTTGCCCTGCTTGGCCGCCTCGGTCTCGGAGACCACCGAGGATTCGAGCATCGAGCTAACACGCTCGAAAGTTTCATTGAGCTCCTGTAAATCATTAGCAAGACTTGCAAGTCGAAGACACGGGGCAAATAACCAACCTGCTCGGGGACAATGCTCAGGTAGGCATTGATACATTGGAGGATGTAACCCCTGTAGTGCGGGAGCGTTTGGCTGTACACGTTGAACAGAACCGCCAACAGGTTGCTAGCGAAGCCAGCAAGATGAGCAATGTTCTTCTTCGCGGCTTCCTTGGTGATCCTGCGCTGGAGGATCAGGTCGTCGCCGTCCGCCTCGACGGACAGGATGGCCTGGTTGGACTCCACCAGGTTCTGCAGAGCTCTGCAGATGTCGACACGCAGGTCGGTCTGCTTGTAGAGAACGTTGGAGAGCAGTTCCGCAAAGCTTTGGTCGAAAGACTCGACCAGGTCGAGAGGCAGCTCACAGTACCCAGGAAGGATGGCCCACGTCTGCTGGACGAGGGTCTCAAAGATCTTCACCTCGACGTTCTTCTCCTTGGCGCTGTAGTCCATGACCTTGTGGTACAGGGCCTCACTGAGGGGAACGAATTCGGAGCGGAAATGGGCAAGGTTGGTGTTGGTAACGTTGTCGCGGAGCACCGGGAGGAACCAAACGCGACCAGGCTGGCCATGTTTCTGCTCAATGATGTTCAGGGGCAGAATCTCCAGGACTGCAGCAGGGCCCATGGCCTCGATTGCGCTACCTAGAACATTGTCCGCCTCCTTCTTTCCCTGGAAAGACTCGTTGCTGCGGAGCTCTCCGACCGTCCGGACAACACCGTCCAGGAAAGGGCTGGAGCGCCACTTGAAGCTGTCGAACAAAGCCGCGCAGACGTTGAACACTTCCCGCCACGCTGCCTGGTACTTGACGGAGAGCAGATCCATGGCCGCCTTGGCCAACTTCTCCAGCGTCTTCTCATCGTAGACGGAGGGCTCGATGATGACGCTGCTCGGGATACAATTGGCCAAGAACGAGACCAAACATTCGGATGCCGATACGCGGATGTTGCTAGAAGGCGAAGCCAGATAGCCGGAAACCATGTTGAACAGAGCGGGCAGCTTCTCGAAGGTATCCTCGGGGCTAGTCTGAGCAGACACATCGTAACCGCGCGACAACACGGCAATCCAGGGCGGCAGCAGCTGCGAATCGTTCTGTGCGGGCTTCAAGTCCGTGATAGCCTCCAAGAGACGGGGGAGCTTCGAGGACGAAAACTCATCGGCCATGCTGGAAAAGATCACCTCAAACACCTCGAAAGCACCCATCGTGATGAATTCGTTGCTGGAGCGGGAGGCGTTCATCAACAGCTCGCACAGCGGCTCGATCTTCTTGCTGGGCCAGCCTCCGGATGCGATCGCAATCGTCTTCACCAGTTGCAGGGAGTGGATGACCAAAGGATCGTGGGTGTCCCGGCTCTGGGGATCATGACGACCACGCTTGGACTTTGCAGCGGCGGTGATGCTGTCACTCAGAGTGCGCATGGCGGTCTCGGCACACATATCAGCAGCCGGGTGATCGAGAGAAGGGCTGGGCGGAGGCGTCTTGAGAACCTTGACCAAAGCGTCCTGGGCACGCTTCCGCACCTTGGGGCGGTGGTCGACGGAGAGACTCAGCAGGCCCGCCATCGCACGTCGCGGGCCGATCTGGGTGTGAGGGAGATTCCAGGCGGGGACATCCTGAGCGACGAGGAGCGACTCGAGACAGCCAATGGACGGACGGAGAAGCGGGGCATCGACTTCAGGCAGGGAGAGCGCAGGAGCGAGACTGGTGAGGATCTGAGAGAACTTGGAGCGGAGGATCGGGGCAGGGACATAAGCGGTGGTGATATCGAGCAGATAGACGACGGAGGTTGCTAAATCCTTGTTGACGATGCCTTGGGAGGCGGAGATGGACTGGGCCAACAGCGCAAGCAGCGCTGCAAAATAGGCGGTGGGGGAAAAGTCGGCTTTTTGATCGCGAAGAGTGTCTTCCACTGCAGACAGCACCACGGCCGTCTAAAGGGTCAGTTGTCAGCAGGCAATGCCATGATGATAAGTGGTGGGTGGGTGAACTCCGCGGATGAGGATTCGACGGGACTTACATGGTGCTGATTCTGCAGCTTGGGAGACTTGATCTTCTCAAGCTTCTCCGCCAGGGTCGCCATGGTGAGACGATCGACCGACGGGCAGTTGAGAAGTAGATCCAGGAAATCTGGGACGGACTTGGGGGGGAAGAGGAGGAGAGAAGAAGAGGTGGATGCGGAGATTTTTTTTGTGGTCCGGCTCGATCTTTTGGGCAGGTGAAAAAAAGGTACACCCATTCTTGGCGGCCTCTATCGATAACCCGATAACAGCCAGCTTCACCTCCTCTCTCTCTCCACGCATGGCTGGGATTCTACGATGATTCTGTCTATTCAACACTAGATCGATTCTCATTCATGCGGTCCATTTCGGAGAAGAAGTTGAAGAATAATGAAAAAGGAAAATAGCGTAATCAGACATGACAATCGTCAAACATAGCCTCCACCTATCCGTCCGGATCAAACTCTCAGACCAGTATATAGCCTCGTGTCGGATTCCCACCCCCTCCTTAAGACGTCATGCGTCCATCTCGCCAGTCCTCCCGTTCGCTCCTACTCGGACACAGATCAGCTTAGCTTCCACGGCTCCTCTGGTGGAGTTTCCCCTCTCTTTGATTCTCTCAGTCTTCTCTCGCACCCCCTGCATATTCCTCACATCGCCGCATCGTGTCAGGCCACGGACAATGCCTGGCTCTGGCGACGGTCATGGAGGGTATCTCAACGGTCCAAGTGCCAACTGATGCTTGAACCCGCATTACCCATCATACTCAACCAAGTGTCTCATCTCGCCTCGCGCCTGACAAACACCCAGGCGACGCGGCAGTCGCGAATAAAAGGGAAACCAAATGCGAACTTCACGTCTAGAAGAGGATCTCTCCGCTATGCTCAGGCTCGAATCCCAATGTCTGTAGCTTCCCCTGGCGCTTCTTGTCTCCGGTTTTCCGCGCGCTCTCTTCCTTCTTTTTCAGCTCAAACACTTCCTGGAACGACGCTCGCTGGATGTGAGGGGGGATATCATCTTCCTTGTCGAGATCCTGTAGGGGGGGACGCAATCCCATTAGTCAACTAACCCAGACATCGGACAGGAAACCAAGAACATACAATTTCACCAAGAAGCAACACATTCTCGCCGCGAACGAGGAATATCCCGCGCGGGATATCGGCATAGAGATTTCCGGCGTAGAGACGCTCAATGGTATCCTGAAGAACGAGGTTTGCTGCAGGAGAAACAGAGTCGCATCGTTAGATCGCCAAGTCCCAAGAGAGTATCCCATAAGCATATCGTTGCCATAAGCGCATACCGAATTGATCCCAACTCCTCAAAACTCCAATCAATTTCCGCCCATCTCGCAGAACTAGAACCAGCTTCTCTGATGAGCGTTAGATCGGATTTCAACCTTCCCATACCCCACACCAATCAACATAACAAATAATCCACAAATGCAAAGAAGACAAACGCACTATCCGTCAAATCCAACAACTGAGCCGCCGTGGTGAACATCTGCGGCGGTAATTGCGGGGGCCCTTGCGACATCGGTCCGAGCGTATTGTTCTGCTGGGGGGGAAAGCCCTGCGGCGCATTGCCGTGGTGAGCACCCGCGGGGGTCTCGCTGATCGAAAGCCGTTCCATATCCTCGTTGGAAGGGAGGAGGGGTGGGCGGGTTATGGTTGGAGATCGAGGAAGGGAACTGGAGGGGCGAGGTGATGAGTCAACCGCCAATTGGTAGTTATGCGACGGGGTGGGGAGTGTGAAGATGTCTGGTCGGAGCTGAAATTCTGGGATTTGAGAGAGAAAGTTAAGGGGTTCTCATGCTGCGAGGTCGAGTGGAAGCAGCGGCGATGAGCCAGGCAATGCGGTGCTGCATCGGCAGGTGGGAAGGAGTCGTTGGTGCGGCCGAGGGACCCTGGTGTTTGTCCTGTTTGTCCCTGCTGCCCGCCATCGTCATCGACATGTTTATGTACTAAGTGTAATGGATATTTACCTGGGAATAACATGAAAATGTTGGACGATACTATTACTGGCTATTTGGGAGTAGATCAAGAGCGGAGTTGGCTTTATTCGTAGTCTCTACTGAGTCTGATGTCCTGGGAATGCGCTATATTCCCATGTACTCTGATCCGTGATATATATTGTATAGTGACGAGAGAATAGCCTACACTGAGCAACCTCGTACGGAGAGTTACGATCACACCTTCTCCACGCTACGAACAAAGGAATATACCTAAAGCATGTCTCCTGGCGCACAGCGTGGCTGGCCTACGATTTTCTAGATACACGAGTCTTGCGGGAAAATGAGATCCATCTCAGAGGCTTGTTGTGTGACGTAAACTCTCAATCTGCCAAGGAATGCGGCGTTGTTATGAGTAATTTCGTTCAAATTGGAATCAAATGGCTCCGAGGACATTCCAAACAGCAAAGGATCAGAAAGAAAGAAAACCCAGGGCATAGGCCATCCTTCATGATGACCATTTTTGTTGACTTTTAGGTGTCCTTGATAATACACAATGCGATCAACCTAAAATGACATGCGAGAAATGAAGACAGAGGAAGATCCCTAAGAAGGCAACAAAAAGTGGAAATGTCAGTCAGCTTTTTGATAACGACCATCCAAGTCAACCACCCTGCACGCAGCGGATTAAGCGACGCTCACCCCTCGACGCTGACCACGCATTCTCTCTTCGCGTCGCCGACTATACGGAGCGCAATACGGCTCGTCCGAGGACCCGATATTCGCCCGAACCGGTTCCTGGGATCGATGATATGCGGGACTCGACGGGGGCGGTGGGAGCTGCATCACTTTGAACTGATCCACGCTGATGATCCTCAAGCCGTACAGGTACTGCATCAATTCGAAGTCGGGTCTGCTGCCGGCTAGAGTCTGACCCTGCTGATAGTGGACCACATCGACGTGGTCCAGCATAACGTCCCAGGCTCTTGACTCGGGGGTATCATTAAACCGTTCACTGGGACAGAGAGGACAGCGCGCTGTCTTGGGAGGCTCGTGAGTGCGGAAGTGGCTGAAGACATGGGTCCTCCAGTCCTCGGCATTGTCGAAAGTGACATGACAGTCTAGGACATGGAAGAGGCAGATATAGGTATAAGGGCTGCGACGTTCCGCGTGGGCCGGTACGACGAGAGCCCCCGTTCCATCATCTTCCAGTATCTCATGACCTGCAAGTCTCGATGCCCATCGTGTGTCTAGGGATATACTGGACGAGGATGCCGATGCCGATGCAGTATCATTCGATAAGGACGGTACACCGGTCGATGGTGGCATATACACGACGACGCCTTCACTCATGCTTGACCCGGGGGATGAAGAAGCCCAGGTGCAGTGTACGGAGTTTAAATGTCTCTGATAATCGAGGAGGACGCCAACGCGCCCCGAGATGGGCAGCGAAATGCGATCCTGTCTGAGAGAGCGATCGAGAGAGCCTGTTCCCACATGCTTAGTCTGTGTGCAGCGAGGGAAGACACAGAGCCAGTCATGGCCGTGGGGAAGTCACCATTCCCCTGCTTGATGGACGAGGCCGTCGAAGCGGGGAAAGTAACAGGCGTGAAAGTGAGTTTCACATGGGAAGAAGACATCGCATTACCTTTTTGTGATTAGATTTACAACCGTCCAGGCCAACACACGCGGATGAGTGGCAGCATCACACCAAGACCGATCGTGCCTGAAAAGAGGTGGAGAGCGATTCAGCGACGGCCATGGTGGGTATGAGGCTCCAGAGCGCGCATAGCGGGGAAAGGAAAAAAAAACCAAGAGCCAAGATGGACGACGCTGGAGGAGAAGGAGTGGACGAAGGAGGGGGGGAACCCGGATGACCCCGTAGCGATGATTAGTCGCTTAGCAAGCCTTTCACCTCATCGAGTCACCACCTCTCCAGCCCTGTCCCTGTCGCTGTCCTGATGGGTGGGTGAGGCCGAGAGTGCGAATCCCCTTCAGTGGATAAGGCCAACGACAGCTTGGCTTGTTTGCTTTTTCTTTTCGTCCATTAACCCCCGAGACAGGTCATATCCAACACTAGATCGGAGATCGATTGCATCATTTCAGCGCGCCGCAATCTTCTCTACGCCCACGCATCGGACCACGCCGACAGCCAGGGAGGCAGTGAAGCACAGACTGGCGTGCAAAATCCCGGGGTCGACAAGCCACCGTCGGAAGTTCGGCATCAGCGCCAATCCCGATGGCTGCGGATATCTAATCTGCCCCTGCCACTCGCCGAGATAACCTGGACGACTGCTGACCCGTTGCGAAGGGATCATGCGCGGAGATCGACATCATCTGAGGGATTGGACTCTTTGAGGGGGCAGGGGGTCTGCACGGGACCATCGCATCCCAGTTCATCGCAAACCGGACGGCCCGGTGGGCTCGTTCCCAACTACGGGCCGCGGGCTATCTACATGTACTGATTGGCTACAGGGATTATACTCCGCAGATTGCTCCGATTAAGGCTTATTTGGATTTTTGTGACTCCTCTCATCCGGCTCGAGGTCTATAATCACAGCGTAGAAGAGGCAAGGAAACAGTTGTGTCTCGCGACATGACTTGAATCAGGAGGTCCGGACCTCGGAGAGAAGAGAGAACACAGAAAACAACAGCTGAAGAGCCATTTCGCTTGGTATAGGGTAGCGGAGAAGAAGAGGGCCTAGAAGACCAAGCCCCAGGACGAAGGCAAGGGGGAGAATCAGAGGGGACAAAAAACAATTCACAAGATATCCCGTCCATCTATCAGTAGTGACGCCTTGCAAAAAGATATGAGCAGGGAAGAAAAACAAGGGAAATCCAACAGAGCTGAGGAAAAAAAACCACCCAATCACCCGACACCAATGATGCCCATGAACCACTGTAAATGCACAAGTCTATTCGGTCGTAGCGCGCATGAAGAACTGCTGATTTTTTGAGAACCCAATTTTTACACAAACCAAGAGTTGGCTGAAAAGGTCGACTAGAAACGTTCGGCCAGATCGCCCCCAGCAACCGAGTTGGCGGTGGACGAGCTCACCGAGGAAAACCCACTGCTGGGATTCAGCATATCCTGAACGGCGACTTTCGGCACCTGGGGGACGGGCAGTTTGCGCTGCGTCCCATCCGGTTTAGACATGATGTCTGAAATGCTTGGGCCAACATGACCTTGGCTGGGGCTGTAGTAGGTGGGACCCTCGGGTTGCGGCTCCATCGGAGCAAGAGCAGGTGTGTGGTGGAGTGACAGATGACGGATCGACGGCAGGTGCAGATCGCTGGAGCCCAGGGGTCTCAACCGCGGCGAGTGAGCGGGAGTCGCCAGAGGTGTGTGGTCGGGGGTGGGGGAAAGGGAGTCGTGGGAGAAGGTGGGAGAAGAAGGAGCAGTGGAGTTTGGAGAGTTGGGCCTCGAGCGCTTGACGCGGTGCGAGTAGCCATCGTCTTCCTCGTGGGAGTGCGAGCGGCTCATGTTGTGCGTGATTGCGTAAGCAGACAGGGATGGGAGGCGGCCACTTCCGTGGTGGCGCGAGCTAAACAGGTGGTGACTGCGTGGCCCTGCATGGAAGCTGAAGTGTTCGTCGCGCTCAACCTGCGACGCTGCCGTCGCCAATAGATTGATGTCCATGCCTGATGAGGCCCGCTCGCTATTGCGCGAATACGGACCCAGGTTTGATCGCATGTGGTTGGCGTAACTGGAGAAGGAGTGAGGCGGAGAGATGTCGGGGGATCCGACCTGCGAGACGGGGGCAGACCGAGTCATGGGCTTGCTGGGAGGAGGCATCATGGCGCTCGCGTTGTTTGCCATGGCGTTGTCCTGGCCAGCCGCAGCTGCAGCAGCCGCAGCCAGATGTTGAGCCTTGTTGCTGCGCCTCGAGTTGGGATTGTTGTGAATTCTCGAGTGGCGCGTAAGCTCATCCGAACGACTGAAGCGCTTGGTGCAGCCGGGGAATTGACAGGCGTGCGGCTTTTCACCCGTATGCGTGCGGATATGCCTGGTCTGATGCTCCAGACGGTGGAAGGCGCGATCGCAGAGGGGGCACTTGTATGGACGGGGAAGATCCTGACGCACTTCTTCGGTCGCAGGCCGGGCACCCTTCATGAGGGGAGGAAGTAGGCTCACGGAGGAGGCCATGCTGGAGGTGGATTGTGTACTTGTTGGGGTGGAAGGACCCTTGGAGCTGTCCACGGGGGTGGAAGGCGTTGAATCAACGGGATTGCTCTGAGGGTTCAGCAGATTGGAGAAATCTACTGAAGAGGCCGGTGGCGGCATGTGAAGCTTGTCCTAGTTCCGAGGAGGGTAGTGAAGGTAGGACAGAGCCGGGTTAAAAGGACACGTTCGGAAGGGATGAGATGCCGAGGCGACGGTGATGCACGTCGCGACCAGGGGTAGGGAGCTATATCGGCCCAGTCGATCACCACCCGCTAGTACCCCAGACCTAACCTTGGCGAGGCGAGATGATAGGAGGAGCGCGCAAGGGTAACGAGGATCACAGGCCCTATGACGAACCAGGGCGGCGCGGCAGTCGAGTGTGAAATCAACTCAAGGGCTGATAAGGACGAATTTTCCCTTTCAATGACTGAAGGGATACGGAATGTGGGAGCAATGATAGTGGTGATGGTGGTGGTGATATCGAACCCGGAATCGGAAATAGACCCCGGATGAATGAGTAGCGAGCCGACAAGGGCGAGGTTGAAGCGAAAGGTCTCGGGAAGCAGAGAGAGAGGGAAGAAAAGAATCTGGAGAAGTTGGATCTGGGGAGACGACGGTATAAGAAGAAGAACCGGAAGAGGGAGGAAATGAGGAATGGAGGGGAAGAAGAAGGAAACGGAGCTCGGGGGAGGGGAGGGAAAAAGAGGGCGAGTCGTAGAGGGGGTGGGTTTATCGGAATCGGGAGAGCAGAATTGGGAACGCGAAGGGAAAAAATGATTTTTTCCTATTTAACAGAAAAAGGAAATTCACGAAAAAGAAAAAAGACTATGTACTTTGTGTGGGGATGAATATCGGGGGGGCAAAAAAAGCAGGCTCTCGAGAGGAAAGGGAAAAAGAACGTGCTTGAACCAGATCGGCTGCTTTGCTTCTTGGGGCTTCAACCGGTCAGTTTACCAGTCGGATGGGACGACCCTTTTTTTTAAATAAAAAAAGATTTTTTTCTTCATTTCTACATATTGTCACCCCCTCTCCTTTTTGGCTCAGCAATCATTTCTATACCTCCCTTCCCGAATCTTTATTTCTCCAGGGTATTTCCTCCTCGAGTCCTTGAATTGGCGGCAGGTCTCCATTTGTTGCCTATCTCGGGGCTTCTTCCGTCTAGTCTTCGGACCACGCACGGTGTGTTAGAAAAATTCCACTATGACTGACCGGGAAGAAAAAGACTCCAAACGGGTAAGGCGTGTTGTAAAAAAAAAAAAAAAAAGAATGTGGGGCGGGCTAGAGTCGATAGGGATTACGGAGTAGAAACTGGAACTGCAGAAGTGGCTGTGTGGTCTGGAGAAGTGCGTGCCCCGTGTTGTTGGGGGTCGGTAAAAGTCGTAAGGTAAAGTTGTACGGAGTACGGAGTAAGATCGGGAGGGTTCCGTCTTCTGCTCAGTGGGTGGTGGTAGTAGTGGTGGTAACTGGTAACTGGTAAGATATCACGAACACGAACAGCCCCCTCCTCTTTCAACCACCCCCCCGTCTCAGACTTCCGCACCGGCTATCGCGGATGATCTGGACAATCCTCCTCGATAGGCGACCGCGTAGATATCTCCCTAGGCCCCATCGGGCGTCGGGATGATGTCTCGTCCGTGGGTGACCAAGCGCGGTTGATTACGCGATTTGTCTCGCCGGTCGGATAATGCGAGACACCTTGCTAAAGAATCCATGTGATAGTAGCTGTCTATCTCCTGTAGCCTATTGATCATTTGCACGGGATAGGGAATCGCCATGATCACCAGTGGTTATCTACGGGGTAGGTAATCATGCCGTATGGGCCTTGACCGAAAGCGTGATACGGTCAAGCGGAGGTTGAGCCCAGGGCGGCGGCGGACACGAAAGGAATCCCCCAGATGATGCCATTTTGATGATGAGGGTCGATGATGGAGGTATGAGGTGATTTCTGAATTCTGGCTTTCCTGGTTGTGGTTTATCATTTGCTTATTTTTTGTGTTTTTTTTTTTTTTTTTCCGGGCGTCTGCGTGTGTCTTCCCCAACCTGTCTGGGGCATTACCGGGGAAGGAGGTTGCTGGACAGATCTTCAGGACGGCCCAGTCCAGACCAGCTGATCGACCATCATTCAGCAATGGTTGGGTACAGCGAGAACTAAGATAACCGGCAGGGGAGACAAACTCAGGTCGAATGAGAGTTCCATGACCCAGGTGACGGGCACGATGATCATAGCCGGTGTATGGCAGACCGTTGCGTTGAACTAAGAGTCATACGATGGGCGATGGGCGAGATCCAATACATCATCCATCCTTCTACTCCTGGATGCTGTAAATACTCAAATACTAATCTGAGGCTGCTGCTGGCGGCACCCAGTGGATGGACTGGAGCCCACGAAAATGAGCCGGGATGCCAATCCAATGCGGGTGAAGGGCGAAGGCTGACCGACCGCAGTCGGGGACTGTGGGGGAAGACAGCATTGCATCAGCCTCATGACTCAGACAAATCATTGGCCCTGTCAGAGCGCCCTTGAGGCATGTACGGCGCAAGACGAGGCGACCCTCAGCTGCCTCCGGACAACAAAGCCTATCTATGGACCCAACACGGCGATGACTCGACCGGGTTGCTGAATGGCATCGATGGCTCGGGGGGCCAGGTTAATTACTTGCGTCCAACAGCCATGCATCCCTCGTATCTACCCCGTACCCCCGTACAATAATATAATACCCCATGGACAAGTCGAGACTCAAAAGGGACTGCTGTTGGCAGCGCCATCGCATAATATCGGCATTTAGACCCGTCAGCCCGAATCGATGGCCCTCCTATTTAACCGGGGGTGCAAGGTTTAGGGCAAGGCGGCATTACTAGTGAGAGCTGAGCAGAATCATTTCTCGCCCGCAACCCCTGGACTAGCGCTTAATATCTTCACCACGTCGGTGGACGCGCCACCCTGCGTCGTTTCATCAGTGCCAGGCACCCACATCTCCAGCACAAGACACCACGGGGGCGCCAAAGAGAAAGGGGGTGAGACCGTAAGACCGTGAGACTTGAGACTGGAGAGGGGCCAAGCTCGGAAATTGAACTCCGCAATCCCCAGGTCCACCTGGCTGCCTGCGCCCGGAATGTATTATTCCCCCAGACAGATGCTCACCTCCCCATCTTGATGCTAGCAGCTAGTATCTACATGGTCGCCCCCGGACCTTCAGTTGGGGAAATCTCCATGCGGAGATTCGCCACCGAGTGCGGAGATGGTAGATTACTAGATTACTAGATTGACGGGTCGCCGTTCAGACTCCGGATCACTCGACGACACTGTTCGCTGAATTGCATGGTGCTAGCCGGTCCACAGCCCAGGTGTCATCGGGATAAAGAATGATACGGTCTCGGCAAGTCCAGCCAGCCCAAGACCCCCGGATGCCTCCCCCCAAGGCCTATGATTATGATATCACTGTTATTTATCCTTTAATCAACATGTCATTTGTACATTCTATTTATATTTTAATTTTGGGGGCTTTGGGCTTTCTTATCAGACAGACAGGCCATTCTCAGCGGTCTGGTGATGGAGAACATCATCCAAGGAACAAGACTCTCGGCACGCTGTACGGTGTGGTGTCCCTCAGGAGGCATTATTCACTGGACGGCAATCCAAGGAAGCGGGAGACATGCATCAAGCCGTCTGAGCAGGTCCCTTAGTGGTAGATCACAGATAGTCCAACCCCGAGGGGTCCGCGCCGACCGGGGACTAGATCCGTCGATACCTGATATTCAGGGCTTCCGTCTGAGAATTGTCATCGGACAGGATGCAGAAGGTCATGTCGCCGACTGTAGGTAACACATGCCCCTCCCAGGCCACTGCCCCCATTGTTGTCAACTTGTCACCCGGAAGTCTCGAGAAGCGGTAGATGTTATCTTCAAAGAAGGGGAGGGGGGAGGGAATCCGACGGATGAAACCCCCACCGGGCGATATCGTGGTTCTACTGCCTGCTCTGATAGGCTAAACTCGGCTGCGATCAGCGGATGTCGGATCGTGACCTTGGATGGTTCGTTCGTTCGTGGCTTGGAGAGAGTTCCCGGGACCAGAGAGGAAGGCGTCGCGACATGGCAGATCCCAAGATATGAAAGGAGGGGGGAATGGCTAATGAGATTCGTCAGATAAGGCGACAAAAGTACTTTTCATTCACCAGGTGCAGATACCAGGCGGTGGCATGGACATGGTCTCCGCCTTGAATATGGAGGGACTAGCTATCTTACACCATCCACCATCCATCATACACCATACACCACACACCACCCTCCCCTCATCTCTGCCATCAACCTTGCCTTATCTTTATCTTCCAGGGATCCACGATAGATAGGATGCATCACACGAAATTCCTTGTGAGTGTGTGTGGGGTGGGGGGGGGGGACCAGGAGCAGCTGATGCCGGACCGATTGCCGGCACTTTGCCGGTGTGTGAAATGTGAATTGGTGATACCCAAGGAAGGGGCGCCTAGCAATCACCCCACCATCTCCAGGCTTGGGAGGGTGGGACAAATGGGGAAAGAGAAGACGGAGGTTGGCACGCAGGTACCGCTGCCTTTGTACGTAACTTCCCCCCCAACTAGCCCGAGCCACGTACTTCCTTGGAGGTAACCTTCCTTATTATTGCATTATTCACGGGCATCCTCTCCTTGCTGGTTATTGGGGTCGGATTATTCCCGCAGATTCTGGCCAGCCAGCCAGCCTGTCATTGCACCACATTTCCACGACAAAGGTTGTATTGCCTCCACTCCCGATGTGGCACGGGTGGTGGTGGTGGTGGTGGTGGCTGTACTGTACTCCAGGCAGAATTTATCTCCATACGGAGTAGTATTATCTCCTCCGTATTCCACGGATATCGGCGGGAGGGAAGGGCGTCCATCCAGGGAAAGAGGGAAGAGGGCGGTCTCCTCACATCCGCCTCTGCAGGAAGCCCCAGCACACTATTGAAACAAACTGGTGCTGATCATGGCGCGACAACACACTTACCCCATAGTCTAGAAGGGTGGTTTCCGTTCTAGAGGCCTCCGTAGAATCCCGGCCAGTCAGTGAGCGTCAACCCAGTATCTATCTACTTGTTCCTTTCCCCCGTCTCCCCCATGAATCACTCGAGGATGATTCATCGACCCTCCGCCTTCCCCTTCCGAAAGACAGAAGATCTTCCCCGCGATCAACGCGGCCGGTGATCGACTCTCAGATTCGGCAAGGTCAGGCCCATCCCTGGCTCTGCCTCCGGCTCGAGGGGTGCTCTGACTTACTTAGTCCGGAGTAGGCCGGGGATCTTCCTAGCCAAGCATGGGTAGGTGACCACTTGGTTGCAGACAATCCCTTGTCCTGGAGCATCTTTTGCAGGACTTCGGCCCGTCTCAACCTCT